CAGTTCATAAACGAGATTGAAATCCTCACGCGTCTTCAGCATCAGAATCTTGTCTCCCTCTACGGCTGCACTTCGCGTAAAAGCCGAGAACTTCTCCTCGTGTATGAGTTTGTTAGAAACGGGACGGTTGCCGATCATCTCCACGGCGATCTGTCGAAACCCGGTTCACTGCCATGGCCTATGCGTATGAACATCGCCATACAAACAGCCAGTGCTCTGGCATACCTCCATGCCTCGGATATCATCCATCGCGACGTGAAGACAACAAATATCCTCCTCGACACTAACTTCAGCGTTAAAGTTGCAGACTTTGGACTATCGAGGTTGTTCCCGAATGATGTAACCCATGTTTCAACCGCCCCGCAGGGCACTCCGGGCTATGTGGATCCAGAATATCATCAGTGCTATCAACTAACCGATAAGAGCGATGTGTACAGCTTTGGAGTCGTCCTTGTCGAGCTGATATCTTCAAAGCCTGCAGTTGACATAAACAGGAGTAAGACCGAGATAAACCTATCCAACTTAGCAGTAAACAGGATACAGAAACAAGCATATGACGAGCTGATTGATCCAGGCCTCGGGTACAAGACAGATGAGAAGGTTAGGAAGATGACTACAATGGTGGCAGAGTTGGCTTTCCAGTGTTTGCAGCAAGACAAGGCGATGAGACCGACCATGGATGAGGTTCTGCAAGAACTCCAGAGAATCCAGAATGAGGAGCAAACAAATCATGATCATGATCAAGAACAAAAACACGATGAAGACGATGAGGAGATTAAGCAAAGTTTTCCACCGGCTTCTCCACTGGATTGGACAAAGGCTTCGCTGTTAAAGAATATCAGATACCCTCGTTCTCCGATCTCTGTGACCGAGCAATGGGTTAGCAAATCCACAACACCAAATACCAGCCTTTAAGGCTGTGAGAAGAAGATCCTTCGAGTGCCATTAGACATTTTCTTCTCATCTGTCTTTTTTATTCACTGTCACTGCCCAGAGAGAGATATATCCATGATGGAATCAAGTTTTAGGTCCTAAGATAATGTATATAGCCACAGAATTTGCACTGCAAACCCACCTGCACTTCCATTGTCAAAATCCCAAGCCACGAGCTAACCATTGAAAACAGAGGAAGCATATGTATTAAGGTTGTGTTTCCATGTCCTAAAAGCTTGAATATCTGTCCTTGTTACCATTCCCGGGTTGAGTGAATGAAACCCATTTCCCGTTCCAGTCTCAAACTCATCAGTCTTCTCGCTTTACTGTCTTCCTTACAGAAATTTCAAATCTTTTGTACACTTCTGTGTGTTCTTACAGAACATTCAATTCCTGAAACTGAAAGAATGTGACAGAATGCACCATTCTCCGACAAGAGCAGTAGGAGTTTGGTAGAGCGGTTTCATAAAACCGCTTCAAGGGTCCAATGGAAATGACAGTTACATGTGAATCAATGGGTAGAAAGAAAGATTACAGCTTGATCATCGCTGGGGAATTTTGTTTTTCTACTTGAACAAAATGGTTAAAAAAAAAACTATGAAGGCGCTCAAAAAGCAATGGTTTAAGATTGAACCAATGTCACAGGGAAAGTGTTGATGTTACCACTTACCAGATCGAGTTTGCGCGATTCTCTCAAACCAAATCATCATCGTCATCGTCATCGTCATCGTCATCATCATCATCGTCGTCGTCGTCATCATCATCTTCTTCTTCTTCTTCTTCCCGAATTCTATAAAAAAAAGAAAAAGAAATCAAAAACCATTTCAGGGGCTAACTTGTAGAAACGCGAAAAAGGACGAGACTTTCTCCTGAACAAATCAAAGAAGAAAAGAGGGTTGATTTTATTTTCCTGGAAAACAGATGGGATGATTCGGGAGAGGGTTCTTCGCTTAAATGACCCACTTGGTTCGCATCTATTTCAACTGTGCACCACAAAAAAACATAACATATTTTTTTCTCCGTAAAAAGACGAAATTACCCTTAATAAATCGCGATATTTATCCGTTCAAAAACAACTTCGTTATTACGATTTCGTAATTAAATCTAAATATAGTTACAAACAAGTGTCAAAAAAAATTATCCGTCTTATTTTAGTTGTATATCAGTTATATGTTAGTCGCAAAAAGGTCGCAAAAAATAAAACGAAAAGGGTATTTTGGACTTTTTCAACCGAAAAATGGGTTAAAATTGAAAAAAAAATTTTTTTTTTTTGGGTGGTGTACCCTGAAATTGCCGCGAGTCAATTGGGTTATTTGGGTAATATTCCGTTCGGAAGAAGGAAAAATTTCTCGCTCTTCGTTGTGATGTCGTCTCGGTGCTGAAGAATTACATCGACTCACAAACCAAGAAAATGAAAAGAAGCTTTGCTCTTTGTATTTAACGTCAGAGAGATCGTAAATTATTTTTCTAAGAGAAAAGACCCAAAAAAATCATTAGTTTTGAATATCATTAATTAAAATTTCAACTATTACATATCTAAATTAACTGATTTTTAATTGATTTTTTTTATTTTAATTGAATTGTAAATATATTGGTAAACAAATTAAATATTAATTTGTTTTTGGTTAGTAAAATCAATGAATTTTGATGAATACTTTATTCATTTCTTTGTCAACTCATACTTTATTCCAATTTGTGTATAACAATTATTAAATTCTTCTTATTTGTATTCTTATACATGTATATTTTGTTATCACATGATTTTGCTGTATAATATTTTCCCTCTCCTGCCATGAAAAGATATACTCTCGACGCAAAAAAATAATTATTATTAATTGGGCCCTAAACAGTAAAGTCAATGGGCCTAATAACTGTCCTAAGGCCCAGATCCATGAAAAAATCCTTGTATTAAAAAATCATAAAACCATATATATATATATATATATATATATATGTATGTATCTCTAGCCACACACATTATATAAGATGGTAGTATGGAATTTTCCCTTTTATATTGACGTATGCAATAACCCTAATAATCAATAACGACATTGTGTACATCCGATTGCATGTAAAACAAATGATTTAAATACCGTTGCACAAATGATATCACTTATAAAAAAAAATCCAAATAAAATAATAATTGGTAAACGCTCCAATGGTGCTTTTCCTCAAGTGATGCCACGGTCGGTCCAATACATACAATACAATGATGATGTTTGTTGGACCGTATCTGGTTCATGTCCTAAGCCCGTTCAAATATTTCAATATCCAATAGTTTCATAGAAATAAAAAAAAAAGGCAATAAACCTAGCTTTAGCGGATTCTTTCATGTTTTTTTTAAAAAAAGTATTATTAAATTAAAAACATTACAAAACCGAGAAAGTATATAATTCAACCAAACAAAAAAAATCGACCATTTGCAAAATGTTTCGTCGATCCATAAATAGAAAACAATAAGTAAATTACGCAATTGATTTTAAAACTAATCCGAAATTAGATGACACGGATAATTTAACATTAATATAAAAAAATTAAATAAAAATAAAACCGGGGAACAGTAATGCATGAAACAAGCAGAAGACAGTGGACAGTGAGAAGTGACATTCGTCTGCTTTCCTCTCAGTGGCAAAAAAAGAAAAAGGTAGTGAGAATTCATACTTCGTGAATCGTAAAAGACCCTCACTTTTCCCTTTATTTACCACTTTGTCCCACCCCACTATTTTCACATTGAATTTAATTTGATTACCATCCAAATGGGCATACGAAAGAATTAGTTACTAAGTATAATTACCGATTAATTATGAGCATTTATCTCTCCATGTGGACCGAATAAATATAATTGTTTTGATGAAAACGCACGTGAGGTCACGGGGCACGCGTGTACGTGTATCTGTGCGTCGCCGTTTTGACGGTAGTAATTGCGTACGACGAGTATTCCGTATGACCATGTGATCCCGCTTCGTTAATTTAATCTGGACCGTGAATTTTCCAACAGCTATAAATGACGATTTCAATGGTCTAGATTTATCGGAGCAGGGGTACGTTGGTCATTCTCGAGAAACGTTACGTTGCCCTTTAGTCACCAGTAGCCTGCATAAGGATAGCGCGCAACCATTTATGACAATAAACACCTCTCTTCTTCCTGTTAATTACGATTTTACCATCCTTCTTTCTCGTTTTCTCCCCCCTTCAACTCCCTCTTGCTCTAACCGCTGCGTTCTATAATCTCTCCCTCTCTCTCCTTTGCAGAGCGAAAATGGCGAAATCTTCACGCTTCAATCAGCATTTTGCGTTCTCTCTCCTTTTTCTCTCTCTTCTTCGTTGTTCTTCTTCTTCGAGCGCCGACTTGAAGCCTCTTCTGGACTTCAAATCCACCGCCGATTCCGCCGGGAAACTTTGGTCGTGGAACTCGACCGCTGAGCTATGCAAATGGACCGGAGTTTCCTGCGTCGGGAACCGAGTCACGCGACTCGTCCTCGAGAATCTAGGACTCAGCGGGTCGTTCGAGCCACTCGCTTCACTCACAGAGCTGCGAGTTCTCAGCCTCAAGGGAAACCGCCTCTCCGGTCCTGTTCCTGACCTCTCCAAGCTTAAAACCCTGAAGCTTCTGTTTCTTTCGCTCAATGAATTCTCCGGTGAGTTTCCGGTATCCGTGACGTCACTCTCTCGCCTAAACCGCCTCGATATTTCCTTCAACAACTTCTCCGGCGAGATTCCACTTACTATTAACCACTTGACCCACCTCTTGACACTTCGGCTCGAGGGGAACCAGTTCTCGGGTCCGATACCGGGTCTGGGTCTCTCGGATCTCCAGGATTTCAACGTTTCCTCCAACCATCTGACGGGTCAGATACCCGAATCCTTGTCGGGCTTCCCCCATTCCGCGTTCGCGCAAAATCCATCTCTGTGCGGAGCACCGTTACTGAAATGCCTGGGCATATCCGGCGACCCGACCAAACCCGGGTCCGGCGGAGCAAGAGCTTCGCCGTTGATGAACTCTCAGACCATACCTTCGTCTCCAACCTCAGTTCACTCCAAGAAAGAAACGAAGAAACCATCAGAGAGCGACAAGGACAGCACGACGAGAATCAGCACGCTGGCTCTGGTAGCCATTATCATCGGCGACGCCATTATCCTCAGCTTAGTCTCTCTCCTCCTTTACTGCTGCTTCTGGCGACAGTACGCGGCGAACAGGAAGGACTCGAAGGTTCTGGAAGGAGAGAAGATACTCTACTCATCGAGTCCATACACCGCAAGAGGACAGAACAACAACAACCAGCAGCAGCAGGGAGGGTTCGAGAGGGGGAGAATGGTGTTCTTCGAGGGGACGCGGCGGTTCGAGCTGGAGGACCTCCTCCGAGCCTCGGCGGAGATGCTGGGAAAAGGAGGGTTCGGGACGGCGTACAAGGCGGTGCTCGAAGACGGAAGCGTGGTGGCGGTGAAGCGGCTGAAAGACGGCGGCGTAGCCGCCGGAAAAAGAGAATTCGAACAGCAGATGGAGATCTTGGGAAGGCTCCGGCATCAGAATCTCGTGAGCTTGAAGGCTTATTACTTCGCTAGTGAAGAGAAGCTCCTCGTCTACGAGTACATGCCCCATGGCAGTCTCTTCTGGCTCCTCCACGGTACGTCGTCGTTTTTCAACTCCCCTTTTTTTTTCGTTTTTCATAATTTTCCAATTAATTAGATTTTTAATATCGTTTAATAATTAGAGGAAATGCATATATGGTTAATTTGATGAAATAAGATAATATGTGTAGACCAACTAGTGAAGTGATTCCTGGTACATGGGTCAGGGAAATGGTCCGAAGCCTTTGGGGTAGGGTTAAATTTTGGCTTTAGTTGATAAGGATAAAGATATTATTTTTAATTTTCTAATGTCATGAATAATAATATTATTTAATGGATGCTAAATAAATTGGGACGACCTTTAATTATATTTTATATGGGTTGGGAATTGGGATTCACCTTTTGCTTTTATATGGCTGGATAATTAATTCCGATCTGTCTTATTAAATTTCCCCTTTTTCTTTTTTGACTTCGCCTTTACTCCTTGTCTCATTTGGGGCGAGTGTCAAAATCGTAAATATGGTGAACTAACTCTCAATGTCTGATTGTCTATTGGGTCGGGTTTTGCAGGGAACCGTGGGCCGGGCCGGACCCCACTGGACTGGGTCACACGCCTGAAGATCGCATCTGCGGCGGCGCGTGGCTTAGCCTTCATCCACGGCTCGTCCAAATCCATGAAGCTCACCCACGGTAACATCAAATCCACCAACGTCCTCCTCGACAAATCCGGCAACGCCCGACTCGCCGATGTCGCCCCCCCCCAGCCCCCTGCCACAACCGCGAAATCCACCGGCTACCGTGCGCCGGAGCTCGCCGACGGTAGGAAACCCACCCAAAAATCCGACGTGTACTCGTTCGGCGTCCTTCTTCTCGAGCTCCTCACCGGGAAATGCCCAAACCTCGTCGACCTGGGTCACGTGACCGGACCCGGGTCGGGCGGAGCGGTTGATCTACCGAGGTGGGTCCAGTCGGTGGTGAGGGAGGAGTGGACGGCGGAGGTTTTCGATCTGGAGCTGATGAGGTACAAAGACATAGAGGAGGAGATGGTGGGTCTGCTCCAGATCGCGATGGCCTGCACGGCGGCTGCGGCCGATCAACGGCCAAGGATGTGCCACGTGGTAAAGATGATCGATGAGATTCGTGGGTCGGCTGAGGCTTCGCCTAGTCAAGACGGGGTTGACTCGGTGGCCGACTCACCGTGCTTGTCGGATGACACGAGTGGGGCGACGAGTCAGTAGCGGTAGTCAGAGAGGGAAGAGAGAAGTTTTGCAACAAAAAAAAAAAACACGTGTAGTGTTCTCGTGCCACGCAGATTTTCGTTTTCGAACCGTTAATGTCGGAAATTTCATATGGCGATTATTGATCCAAGAATTACATCATACATATAATATAATACATTAATGCAAGAAAATTGCGAACAAATACCACCAATCACCACGAAAAAAGAATATAAATGAATTTTAAAAGCTAATGTAAAAATAAAAAAGAATCATCCGAAATGCATAACCTTAGGAGCAAATCTAATCAACCGGTCCAAAGCAGTGGGCAAGAACTTACGAGCGAAGAGGTAACAAACCCTGGTCCTCCCACCGTTATGCACGCACCCCTTCTCACTCGTCCTTAGCTTGGCCAAGAACTCCTCCGTCACCTCCGGCCGCACGAACCGGTTCGGGTGGGGGCCGCCCTTGGACCAGTCGACCCACGTGAGGGTCCGGTTCGAGTTCCTCCGACCCAACCCCTTCCCGACGTTGACCAGCGTGGGCAGGTAATGCTCGTCCGAGTAGCACGAGCCGTGGCAGTGGG